TGGGCCGGCGCCGCAGCCCCAGCGCAGGGCGGGCCGCGGCGGCTCCGGGGCGGGGCGAGGGGCCCCCGCGCCCGCAACGGGGGGTTTTCCCTCCGGGAAGGGGTGAGGAGCCGCTCTGCTCCGCGCCGAGGGAGCACCGACAGCCCTCAGGGCTCCCGGCGGCTTTGGGGCGAGCGAGGTCCCGGCTCCAAACACAGCAAGGGCTGCGCCCCAATAACCTGCGCCGGGGCTCTGCAGAATCACAGAATGAACGAGGTTGGAAAAGACCTCTGAGATCATCGAGTCCAACCTTTGACTTAACACCACCTTGTCTACTAGACCATGGCACGAAGTGGCACATCCAGTCTCGTAAATACCTCCAGGGACGGTGACTCCACCACCTCCCTGGGCAGCCCGTTCCAGTGCCCAGTCACTCTCTCTGTAAAAAACTTCTTCCTAATGTCTGATCTAAACCGCCCCTGGTGCAGCTTAAGACCGTGCCCTCTTGTCCTACTGCTGGTTGCCTGGAAGAAGAGACTGACGCCCACCTGGCTACACCCTCCTGTCAGGGAGTTGAAGAGAGTGATGAGATCTCCCCTGAGCCTCCTCTTCTCCAGGTTAAACAACTCCAGCTCCCTCAGCTGCTCCTCACAGGACTTGTACTCTAACATAGAGGGATAGAGAGATGTATGACTGCTCCAACCGCACTGTACCGATTCAGATTAAACCCACCAAGCAAGCAGGGAAAGCAGCCATGGCTCATCCTTGCTGTCCTTAAGACACCTCATCCAGCTCACAGCAGTTACTCCCAAGTGAAATCTTAGGTACTTTTGGAGGAGCTGTACCACCCCAAGCAGAGGAAAGGCCATGCTGACCCTGCCTTGTGCCCACTGGTGAACATTCGAGCCCTGTTCCTCCCTGCAGGCTGCTTTTCCATACCCTGAAAGCAAACTTGGCAGCAGAGCCAGCTCAGTAACTCACAGGGCAGGATCTGTAATTCAGAACTCTCACTGCAGCAGGCAATGCCCACAGGCAGGAACTCATTTTCAAGATAGAAATCTCATCCTCTTAACCATGATGTTACATTAGGCAGGAGTTAGAAAGGGAATACACTTCTGCTGAAAGGGGAACCAATGCAGCACCATAAGTAACTTATTTTAACATATTTTTCCTAAGAACAAGGAACTGCCTTTCCACCCCCACATTTTTAAGTAAGTTAAGCCAACTGTTCTGAGGAAGTACATTTATAATAAAGAGCTTTCAGTTAAAACTAAGAACTACAAAATATAACTACTAAAAAGCGATTATACCCCCCCCACTACTAGAACTGCATATTTTTTAGAAGTCCTTTCTAACTGACTAGAATAAGCTTTTCACACGTTTTTCATCCATCCCCCATCAGGACACAGTAACACGTTGTCCTATTGCACACCAAGCCCTCAGCTCTGTTTCACAGAAAGCACTTGGGCCACCAGCACCACACACCACTAATGACTGAAGAGTTACTTAGGGAGACATTACAATATCTCACATGGGGCTGTGTTTTCAAAAATCAGATCACTATGTGTTTGTAACACTTATTACTACCTTGTTGTCATAATTAAACTAGCTTTTGTTCCCAAATAGAAGAGAACAAAAATGGAACAAAATTTGTTATTTCTTTCAACAGCAGCTGTAATGAAGTTTGGCTGATATCATCCCAAAGATAACCCCAAAAGAGCCAAAATTACATCTCTCATCATGCTCTATATCTGCCTGCAGTTGCCTGTGTTGCAAAGCTTGGGATTTCCACCATAGCCCAGACACAGATAAGCTATACAGCCACAAGACAAGCCAAAGGCCTTTCCTTTGCTCCAGCTCTTTTCTAATTACAGCTGGTGCCATCAATAAGAGTTACAGTCAGAGCAAAACACTGCAGGGATGAAGATAATCAGCCATAACCAGTACATCCTGTGGCAACCAAAGCCAGACTGATTTAAAAATCCAGAATACCTTTACCATCCCAGGAGAGTCAATTCCTCAATATGGTGCCATTTTAGCTGAAAACAGCACAGTAATTTGTCATACACATAGACAGTATAGTTAGCTGGCAAGCTTGAAGGAAAGCTGTGGAACATCAAGCAGGAGATGTCATTCAGCTCTGTCCATTACATAGCAAGTCAAAGATCAATGCTACGTGTCAGTCACATAATACAAGGCAAATTAGAAAAAAAAAATGTTCAGCATAAGATTCAGTGCTGGGGTAAAAGGTGAGAGAGATATCTCATTCATGGTGTCTTCCATCTCAGGAATTTTGATATTTGAAGAGAGGGAGTCAATAGACTTGGCTTTAGGTGAGGAAAAGGAAGGATTATTTTGGTCCTATAGCAATTAAGAATGAGAAAAGCTAAACTATAAATAAAGGCTACTTTTGTACTGTTGGCTTTGGTAATAATTGAATACATTCCATCGATTTCCACAAAATAACTTTATTAGGCACAATACATGAATACAAAAATTTACAAATATATTAGTGTTTTCAATGCTGGAGTATACAAAGTAATCTCTATTTAAAGTCTCACACACACATATTAGTAACTCTGTCTCCAAAATACTGCATAAAAATACTTGGATTACTACTATGAAACTGGTCTAGCAGTCTCTTTCTCTCTTTGTCAGAGAGCTTTGAGTCTTCATCGATGGCTTTCAACAGAGACAACAGCTCATCTCTCGTGGTCTTCTCCGTATTGGAGCGATACTCTCTTTCATCAAGTTTTTGGCAAAAGGTATAGCCTAAAAGGAAAAAAAGAGGCATTCAGAGTTAACACCACACTCAGCCACCCTAGGGATTCCACAGATCCATCCTCCTTTAGAGCCAAATTAGTCATTGTTACAGCAAGTCTTTTTGCATCATCTATTTCTCATTTGGGTGCATGATGAGATTCAAAAGCTCAGTTTGAACTGTTACCTGTTATCTTACTGGGATCCTGGCCTTTCTGCAAAGCCAGCAGTTTATTGCTGACCATCTTATGCAGTGTCCCCGGGATCTTGAAAAGAAAGAGATGACAATGCATCTTAGAAAAGGCAATTCTGCATAGGCATACAAGATTAGCCAAAACCTGCTCATTTTCTAGCTCTTACCTTTAACACATCTCTTTGGTTGTCCACAAGGAACAAGATCAGGAGGTCAGTTTTCCCTCTGGATAAGTTTTTATTGTTGATAATAGCTTTAGAGAATGTTCTTTTCACAACCATCCTGTTGTCACTCTAAAGAACAAAGTGAATTAAGGATGAAAAGAGGAGAATCAGTCTCCCCCGTTGTTCTTCCAGTCATTGCTCTTCCTGTAGTCACATATTTAAGCTACACACATGTTTTCCTACCAGTGTCTGACCTCTAGATCTCAGTAAGTGTAAAGCATCTATTAAGTACACACTTACCTCCTTCTGTAGTTTGAGCTCAGAACTGTGTGCTGCAACAGCCATGAAGTACAACAGTCTCCTGAACTCCTCCCTGACTTGGCTGTCTAGAAGTTTCAAATACAGTTGAAGAGCTTCTAAAGATTGCTCCATCTTCCCATTCACTGGGGAGAGATAAGGATATCTATTGCCATATTTATTTAAATAAATGTTGCAATAAAACACCTAAATTATCCACTGAAGGGACGTTCATCTCTCTACACAGAACTGGTCAAACTAAGCAATTGATTCTCACAAAAACTTCTCACAGGTTAATGAGAGCTGCTTGCAGACAGTCTGAGAACATCGCACATACAGACTTTCAGACTGATATTTAAAGTAAGCTCACTTGCAATTAAGTTCAATTACAGTTGAGCCATCTTGAATGGGATGTGAAATATTGCAAAGAGAAAATAGTTCTGTCAAAGAAATGAGTGACCTCTTGTTGTGGAAATAAAGATCTCCCAAAAAATGAGAAATATGTTCTTGATACATGGGCTAGTGTGAGGAATTAACTGCAAACCACTTTGTAGAGCTTGGCTAAGTTTTAATTTGCCTTCCTATGCAGAATAGCCATTTTAGATGTGTGAATTATTTAAATGAAGTAGGTTGTACTAATATCATCCCCTTATTATGTAGGGAGGAAGAATAGGATATAAATGCAAACCATTCCCACCAACAGGACAAACTATTCCCATGGAACAAGAAATAGGATGAAAAATATGGAGAACAGGGATAAGATGTTAATTGAGGACTAAAACATCAAAAGCTTTCTAAAATGTTGCCTAAGCAAAATTTAAGAAACATTTCTGTGTTAAAAAAAAAAAAAGAAAAGTTGTGAATGGGGTACAAAGCATCTATACAGCTTTCAGTTTAGCTCTCATAGCATAAATATTTAATATTAGGCCATATTTATGTTTCACTTCCCATGGATATTTAACTTCCATGTATACCAATTGCTACCAAATTATAGTGCTCCATTTTCACAGCCATTCTACACAGACCTGATCAAAGATTACAGAACTGCATAAAGTCAGGACCAAAATCAAGCACAGTCTTTATGACTAGAAGTGAAAAGAAAAAAAAAAATACTTGCAGAAGTCAATATTTAATCTTGGCTGCTGAGGTAAACACTCAGTTTCTCAATACGTATCTCACACAAGCATTGGAGCACGGCTTTATTTTACTTACCTAAAAGTTCTGCAATTCCTAAATGGATTTCAGGTGCATGGCTTAACAGCGGTTCCTTTTTTTGGCTGTAGCATCTACCAATGTTGTCAAACAGCAGCAGTTTCCATGCATCTGCTTGATCTGGCTGATCAGGCAAGTTCCTGCTAATATCCACCACCATATGATCCGGAAGGTATTCCAAGCAATCTATCGCTGCCGAGAGCCATTCGTCTGTCCTGGAACACAGAGTGCTTCAGGTTTGTAGCATTGCCTACAGGTGCCTTTTGGGGCTGGTTGCTTTGCTTTCCGTAGAAAGCAGGGAGACTGGTTTCTCAATCCCAGTGAAAACTGCATGGGTAAGTACCTCAATACATCAGAAATTCTCACACACACAGGGCACTTTACCTGACACGCTCAAGTGGATCATAGTCATACACCTCTTTGTTATGTACTTAATCAAGATGAAGAATTAGTAACCCACACAGGTAAACAGTCACAAGCAGTTAAACCTGAAGTCAGTGATGTCCTCTACTGTGAGATAAGGACATAATTATTGCTAGATAAACAGAAACATGAACCTTGATCTGATTCAGACTGGTAAAAGCTTTTCAGACAATATTTTTAACTCTGCGCACAGTTTCAAGCTCAGCATTCTTGGCTCTTTTAATATAGTAAGAGGAACTAAACTATTCCCTCAAAAGTAATGTTTTTAGGGAAAACTTTCAGGTTGGTAGTAGAAAGCTCTATTCTTCCCTCAATGCAGCAAAGAATTTCCCCTCTGAACACCATCAATGCATTCAAAACCCATTCCAGTGTGCAGCAGAAATTGTCTCACTGCTCTAGCTTAGAGCTAAGCAATTGTTATTTACCAGTTATTCCAGTCAAGTTCAACAGGGAGCAAAGTGCCTGCTCAGTCCTTTCTGGCAGGACTGAGACTACTACACTTCTACCCAAAGATAACTGTGCTTCACATTCCCATGAAAGCAGAAAGTCTTACAAATCTGCAGAGGAGAGCAATGAATACTTACTGTGAGTCACTGAAAGCCTTGAGGATCTCTCTGTCTAGGTAGGTGCTTGTGATGACATACCCAGCTCCCTTCCTTGGCTGAGGTCTGATCTCTTGATGCTCCAGCAGAGACTCCAGGAGGGGAAGGTCAACCAGCTGCAGCAGACGAGCGATTGTTTGTTCTTGCCACACTTCATTAATAACTGGGAAGGGTGGATACACAAAGCACATGGAGACTCAGCAAGTGCAAAAACAGATTATGAGAAAAGGACAACTCCCTCCCATCAGGCCTAACCTACCAGACTAATTTTACTAAAATAGAGATTTACAGTAGCAAAGCGTGTGGCCCCTTATCACCTTGAAGTGAGTTTTATCACCACAAAAGGCAAAAATTACCCATTTATTTACTTAACTACAAGTGTGGGAGAACAGCTTTTTGGATAAGTTTGAAGTGCCTTACATTCTTCGTGCTCTAATTTGCAAACAATCGTTGCTCTAGATAAGATATTAAAAAAAAAAAAAGGCGTAATAGTGACACTGTCCTTATCACAGCTTCCTAGGATGTTTCCCCGTGATGAAACCACAGTTTCTAGGATGCATTAGCGTTTTTAACCAAGGAAAAAAACACATTAGATCATAGTTTAATCCGAAAGGGACGACATGAGTTGTCAAGAATAGCTTCACACACTACTGGAGTGCTGGATGTGCAGATAGAGAGTTCAAAAGCCAGGGAGGAACTCCAGCTGGCAGGAGACTATTGGCCATGACTAAGTCAAACACAGAAGTAGTGCAGGTAATTGAATACTATAAAGAACATTCCTAACTCAAATCAAGCTCTATACACTGGATGTTCTTCTCCACAAAACTAGAGATGATGGCTCTTGTCTCATAGAAAGGTAAAAAGCAAGTCTGCAACAAATATAATTTGCCTTTTCACGACACGGTGTTCAAAACAAAATACTATGAGAGTCAGTTTGTCTCCCTCTCCAATCTGACAGGCATAAGTCTTTCCAATCCTACAGCTTTACCTTCCTTCTCCCACAAACAAATGACTGTGATGTTATTTGGCTTACCTCGACGGGACAAACTATCCAAGATGTTTACTTGAGGGGTATTTGCAGGCTTTAGACTCAGGTTTTCCCAAAGATCCTCCAAGTTTTCCGGTTTGACAGGAGTGGAGTGGAACAACATGCTCTTCTCATGTCTGAGATTAAAAACAGTTTTTATATATATCTATATTCATACATATAGATAACCAAATGTATCATGCAACATATAGATATGAATAACTGTCCCAAGATTAAGAAGTGTTCTCTCCTATACAGATATTTACACTATCTTCCCCCTCTTCTCTGCTGCCTGATACTTCCTTTGCCCAAGTCACCCAGGAGAACATATGATGCCTTAAAGAATTAATTGCATGTAACAGTTGTGTGCACAGTTCCTCCCTTGGAACTTGTCACAGCTGGCATCAGCAGGTTACTTCAATTACCACAGAGAAAGTTTAAGAGGATAAATGGTTAAGCAGGAGAAATCAATTTTCAAAACCCAAATAAGACTTCCCCCCCCTCAAAACTTCCAGAGTTTTAAGGCATTATCCATGATAACGAAGTGAGGACAAAAATTTAGTGGTGTTCTTGAAAAACCAAGGAGGCAATTGCTCCCTAGTTATGGGGCTTGTTCACGCCTTCAGCTAATGGAAGCCTTCAGAAACCTGTCACCTGCTTCTGTGTGCTGGCCAATTCTTCTCACAGCTGCTTGCACAGGCTGTGGAGTAGACAGAATTACTGCTCCAGCCACAAAGTTACCATTCCTCCAAGCATATCTATTTAATTTAAATTCCCAGGGTTCCTTTGGTTTAGGACACAGCAAAAATCCTTCTGATGCCCACTGTCTTTACTACAGATGTGACAAGCTGCATGGATCGATGGATCTCTTCCTTTCACTAAATGAACAAACGTAACCCAATGGATCTGTGCCCTGCCCAGAAGAAAACCACCTTCATTCAACACTAATAAAACATGAATACTCATGTTTAATGACTGTTTGTCCAATATGTTCTAAAGTCTACTTTAACAATTCTTGTGATGAAAATATTTTTAAATACCACACTTGATTAAAGTGTTTTTAATTTCTCACAAATTCTCCTCTTTCCAAATAAAGACTTGGGACAGTTTGATTTAGTACACAACAAGAGCTAGTGGTCCAGAGGGGAGAAGCAGGATCGAGGAACTATTTTTATTCTGTCTGTTTCTATAATTCTCTCATCAGGGTTGATGCCTTCAAGTTCACATCTGCTACTCTCATTAACGTGTTGGTCACATAAGGAGGGGTTTTTTCAGGTCAATAATATGCACTTTTGAAAATTGCAAATATTGCTAAAACTATTGTATTTAATACATCAGTGGAGCTTGTAAGAATATGCTGGACTATGTGTAGAGATGAAGACTAAAAATTGTTCAAGGGAAGTTACTTTGCAAAGTGGCATCTACATAGCACGTGCTCTGCTTTGTGAGGGATTACTTAGTACCTGGGTTTTCTTTGGCCACTCCTAAAGAGACAGAGAAACAAAACCTCACCACTGCACTTGCCTCTGGTTCTAGGATGGTGTGCAATAGCACAGCAGCAAAACAGCCTGCCACCTAGTCTAGGAAGAAGTCATATATGCATAAAGAAATGGCTAAAAGAAAAGCCAAATTTGAAGTGTAGAAGAGCAAAGATGATGAAAGGGGGAAACAATTTTTCTTTTAAAAGATGCATGGATTACTGGTTTATGCCAGAGCCAGATGTGCAGTGACTAAAGATTGCTCTGTTGCATTATCCTGTTTGATGCACCTGAATTCCAGTGGGTTATATGGGTTTAGATCACTATCAATATGCACTTAATTTCTACCCTCCTACCTCCCTCCCCCAAGGCAATGTGATAACAGACACAGAAAACAAGTTACTATGCAGGTTGAGTGATTTACTCTCCTCAAATTGCTGTTTCCTACCTGTCTTCCACCCACAAACATCTCATCTGCATAGTATCTATTTTTTCCCCCTCTGGGTCCTGTAATTGTACAGCAGTTTTCCCTTCTCTCCCCCAGAACACTTAACATTTTCCTGTTGTAAAGAAATTCTTCCCTTCACACCCCACGTACTAACCTTTGTGGGGTACACTGCAGGTAGTCTTTATCAAATTCTGTTTGGTTTGAGGCATTTGTGAACCTGTAGAGGCTGCTGCTGCTGTCTTCAAACACAGACCGCTTGTCTTTCCCAAAGACCCTCGTCGAAACAGCCTCAAACACTTTGTAATCCATCAGCGCCTGGCACACGCGCACTACTTTAGCACGGGAAATATCCACATCCCCAAAATACTTGTTCTGTAGGAGATGGGCAAAGACAACATCCACAGCATCTGAGCCAATGAAACAGTCATGGTGGCACTTCAGGTTCTGGCGGCGCTTTTTCACTTCCACTTGAGTTTGGAGAGCGCTGATAATGCTGCTCCAGACGTACGTCGCTCCGAACGGCTTCTGGGCCAAGCTAAAGCCTGAGAACAGAGACAACAAAGACTGAATTCATGCTGCAGCTAGAACAGAACAGCCCCCTTTCTGGCTCCTAGCTTTCATGAATCTCCTAAGGATTTAAAAAAAAAAAAAATCTTCGAGACTTCCACTTTGGCTTGGGTTGTTTATGCGTTAACACTTTGTGACTTCCTTAGCAGGTCTGTCTGCTGTGTGCTGCTCGCTCTCTCTGGTGGTTCCTCTGGCTACATCAGCCTAAAGCTGTTCGACCACGAGTTCCTGGTTTTTTTTCAGCCTCTCTTTCTGGCACTGTCCTTTTGTGTGTCCCTCTGTCACCTAATGGTTACACTTGCAGAACCTACTCCTAGGCACGGTGTCCCACAACCATGAACCAGCTGTAGGTACTTGTAACTGCCCTGTTAGTTCCTCTACTAATGCCAACAGCTGGGCAGGGAAGAGGGAAGCAGGGATGAAGAAACACATCAGAACCTTGTTTCCCGCAGGATTGTGCACACACACAAGCTACCTAATATCAGTGCTTAGCACATCACTAACAAGTTCAAGGATTCTCTTAAGACACCACTCACTGGACACTCGTCCCACCAAACAAGGTCCTGCCACCACAGCTCCTGCTGAGACCTTGGCTCTGTGTGCTCACTGCCACTTCCTTGAGCCTTCCCTCCCCCAGTACAGCCACTGAACTATTACTCATTTACCAGTCTGATTAGAGCAACATGCCAGCAGCCAACAGTTTGACCGGAGGCTACATTCAGCCTCCACAAGGACTTGAAAACACACAAAGTTTACAGGTGGCACTTAACTGGGAAGGGCTGCAGCCACCAGAGAGACTGGAATTAGAAAACATGTTTTTCAGTAAGTCAGATGAATAATTTAGTAAGACAGGAAACTGGGGAAGAAGAGGGAAATCAAAAGTTGAAGGACAAAATATGGAATGAAGAGCTGGCAGCAATCCTACAGAAAGCCATCTGGGATTGTGACAGACCTCAAACCAAATGAATTAACAGTGCCATGCAGTGTTTGAAAAAAAACAACATGCAACTTCTTCTGGAACATATTACCATGAGCATTTTCCACAGAGATGCAGGAGGTGTTTTTTTTCCTGTTCTGTTTAGTCTGAAGTGGCTTTACTTAGAGAATTGTATTCCAGTTTGGGGCACCAGTGTTTCCAGCTGATCTCCATCTACCAGAAAGCCCAGAAATTAGGAAATTAGCACGGGGAGGCAGGAAGGTAGAGAGGCAGTAAAGACTGATGAGGAAGCAGAGAACACAATTTTAACACACGAACACTTATAAAGGACAGCAATAGTTATCTTTCTGAAAAGATTCATGTCATGGGAAAAAAAAAAAAAAGCTTTTTAATGCACAGGATTGAGCCAGCCAAGGTAGCAATCTTCCAGAACCAGCAATTTCCAAAGTTTTAAACGTACAAGACAGAGAAGGCACACACACTTGTTGGTACTTTAACCTGATGACACCTTCAGGCAGGCAGAACAAACTCAACAGAACGCAGAGCAAACTCAACAGAATGCAGAATTCGCTTCCAATCCTACACCTGAACAGCAGACTGACCTCTTCGGAAGGAAAAAACCCAGCCCAAGCCCGACACCACCAAACACACACCAACGCTGGGTTCTGTTGCTAAAATAAATACCAACACATACGCCCTGCAGTAATTAGCCGTACTAACCACGGCTTTATCACCTCTTCCTTACACACACACACATAATACCACAGAAAAGATTTGAGGGAGGTACAAGTGTGGCGTCAAGGATACAAGCTCCCACAAAGTTAAAGCGCTGAAGGCAGGAAAGAAAACCAAAAACCAGTTCCCAGCGAGCGCCACCTGCTCTTAACCTCAACCCGCTCTCCGGCCACGCAGCTGCCCCGCGCTGCCCTGTCACCCTCCCCGCCCGCAGCTCCGGGCTCTCCCGGCTCTCTCCCTGTCGCGGAGCTGCTCCGGTGCCGGCACATCCCGGACGGGGCCCCCGTGCGGAAGCACCTCCCGGGTCCGCAGCGCGGCCAATTTTTGAACCTCCGGGAGCCGGGAAAGGCGCCACACGGAGCTGAAGCCGGCGGGGCTCCGGGGCGGAGCGGGACGGCTCCAGCCCCCATTCCACGGCGGGGCAGCCCCATCCCGTCCCGTCCCATCCCGTCCCGCTACCCCCAGGTGCGGGCAGCCCACTCCCTGCTCCCTATTCTCCCCAGCCCCGTTCCCCACTCTCCTCAGCCGTACCCGGGGGCCTGGCGGCGGGGCTGCAGACGGCGCTGAGGTTCAGGGCCGCCGCCTTCTCCCGCACCGTGGCCATGGCGAGCGCCGTCCCCGCGGATGTGCCGCGCCGGGCGGGCCCGCGGCTCAGGGAGGGACCCGCGGGGGCGGAGCTGCCGCGCCCACGCCCGGGGGAGGTGCCCGAGCCCGGGGCACAAAAGGCAGCGACGGCCCGGCCGGACTCCCCCGGGCACTGCCCGGCCGTCCGCCAACGCGGTTTCGTTTCCTGGGCAATCACAGAATCCCCGGAGTTGGAAGAACGCCCTGCAGATCGTCCGGTCCAACCCCCCCTGCTAAGGCAGGGTCACCCGGAGCAGGTGACACAGGGACGCATCCAGGTCAGTTTTGGATGTCTCCGGAGACTCCACGACCTCCCTGGGCAGGCTGCTCCAGTGCTCTGCCATCCTCAGTGGAAAGAAGTTTTGCCTCGTGTTAAGGTGGAACTTCTTGTGTTTCAGTTTATGGCCCATTGGTCCTCGTCCTGTCATTGGGCATCACTGAAAAGAGCCTGGCACCATCCTCTTGGCACCTGCCTTTGGGAGATTTATACGTACTGACGACATCCTCTCTCAGTCTTCTCTAGACTAAGCAGGTTCAGTCTCTTCCCATAAGGAAGATGCTCCAGATCCCTCGTTTTCTTTGTGGCCTCTGCTGGACCCTCTCCAGCAGCTCCTTGTCTTTCTTGCACTGAGGAGCCCAGAACTGGACACCGCTCTCCAAATAAGAACTGCAGGATCCATAGGCAGCAGCGGGAAGGGGGGAAATGTTGCAGGGAGCTGGTGCTGCCCGGGGTCAGGGCCCCGGTACGAGGGCCCCGCTGTTCCCAGATGGGAAACTGCGCCCTCTGCCCTTACACACCGGCGGGAGCAGCCTGGCCCTTCCTACAGCACTGGGAACACCACCCGCATTCCTGGCAGCAGGATACTCGTCCCTGGTGAGTGATCAGGTGCTGGATTTCACAGAATGGGTCAGTTTGGAAGGAAACACAGTGGGTCATCCCAGTGCACATGGCACAGGATTGTGGAACAATATTCCAGATGGTTCTGGAATATCTCTGGTGAGGGAGACTCCATTGGGCAATCTGTTGTAAAGAAGTTCTTCATGTTCAGGTGAAACTTCCTGTGCATCTTTCTGCCCAGTTGCCTCTTGTCCTATTGCTGGGCCCCACCAAGCAGAGCCTGGATCCACCTGTTAGGTATTTGTACACATTGATGAGGTCCCCTCTCAGTTGTCTCTTCTTGAGGCTGAACACACCCAGCTCCCTCAGCCTTTCCTCGTAAGAGATGCTCCAGTCCCCCAGTCATCCTCATTGCCCTCTGCTGGACCCACTCCAGGAGCTCCACATCTCTCTTAATTAATCTCTCTTTATTTACCCTGTATTTACGGTGTCATTTAAAACCCCAAACCAGCCAGATCTAGTTCTGTGAGTTAACCTGAGCACAGGCCTCGTATGTGACTGTGGCTGAACAACTGAACACTGTCCTTGGCTGTCACCAGGATCTATGGCTTGAACACCCACATGTGGTTGAAGTTTTCCTCTGGTGTCTTCTATGAGCTCCTTATTATAGCAACAGGCATTTCTCACTGCAATGAAATAATAAATTCACTTTCAGGGTAATAAAAGTGTTTTCTACTGTCTGCAGCAAACTGTTGAGAGATTCAACATCATTTTCTAAGTATGGGTTATTTTGATAATTCATTCTTACTCAATGAAAGCATATTAGAACAACATAAAATCAATTGTGTTTTCAGACTGATTTCAAGAGGAACAAAGCCAAATCGATCTCCATGATATACAAACTCAGAAGTACATAATGCACATAAAAGACCAAATAATAAAGATGTTACAAGTGATGCAAAAATTCATTTTGAGTTATCAGATTATTGAACCGTTGTTGGCAGTTTTGCAAAACAAAATCCCCTGTGAAACTTCAGCCTGTCCCCTGAGAAGTTCTGTGCAAGCAGGTGTAAATACAGGATGTCTGCCACCCACTGAAGCCCAGGTCAGCCTTCTTTTATCCTAATTTGTCACAATTAAAGGTAGGGCACTGCAAGTTTATTCATCGTATACAGATGAATAAACAATGCACTTCATTTGAAGCTGTGAAAAATGAGTACAGGGAACTAATACCACAAACTTGCAGCAGATGTTTCATCGCCTGAGCAATACAGTATTTAATAATGGGGGTTCTAGGAGTGGAAGTTCTTGTGGAGGTTTTCAGATAAGGAAGTCTTGAGTTTCTGGGCTCAGAGAAAAAGGAACCTATTGAAACCATAGCAAAATGCCAGCCTTTGAAAATGAAAGTTCCTATTGTTTCTCAACAATAGGAAGTGACAAACAGAGATTTCTTTCTTAGGGGAAGATGTTAAAAAAGAAGTTGTCTTGACTCACAGGTGCCATTAAGAACCTAATAAAATAACATATAATGCACAGGTTAGTGGGGATTTCCATGATACGTTATTTTATTATTCCCTACTTTTGTAGCAGTTTGATGCACTTTGCAGCAGTTTTTTGATGCATTGCCAAAATGTAAGTGAAAATCAGTGAATGCCAGAGCTCATTTTCATATTTAAAAAAAAATAATTATTTTAGCATAGCTATTGAAATAAAGTGATGCAGTCAGTCATTCTGCAGCGGTTCACCTAATCTGGAGAGAATTTAAAACCACACACAATTTCAAACAGGAGGTGCACCAATCAGCTAAAAACAACATTACACCTTACAGGAGAGAATGATTTGTCAAAATACTGCTGGTAGGGAGCAGAGCGAACCACAGCCAAGGCACTGTGAGCTGCTCATCGAGAAGTTTATAAGATTTTTTTCCTCTTGTATTTTATTACTGGGAGATCAGCAATCTACCCTGTATTTCTGCCTTTGCTTCATATTTTCCCATAGTGACCACAGCCCTGAGACACGTTTCTCCATGGGCACATGGCAGGTATTGGCTCCTCAGACAGCTGTTGTCAAACAATAGCTGGTATCAAAGAATGCCAAAAACTGCTGTCTTTTGGTGTTTCTTAAAATAACATCCTTATAAAATGCTTTCCTGAAGCACAGTTAAGACTTTTATGTAATTATTAATATATACATAATTAATTGATTTGTTTATATTTTATATAGTCACTCTAAATAATGCAACCTGTTACAGCCAGTATGGTCTTAGCTGGTGTCATTCCTTAGACTCTGGTGGAAAGACCTCAGGGTGAATGTGCAGCTCTCTGTATCTGGTTTCCCCTCCCACAGCATGTTGCCCAAATTAACCTCCATAAAGCTGAACACAGGATGCACGAGAGAATGCCAGTGACAAAGACATAATTAATATAATCAAATCCTAAAATCACTTAGGACCATCTTAGTGGCATTCCTACATGCACATGGAACAGCAACTGTCCTCCAAAAGCAGTTCCTCTGAAAAATACAGAACTACAGACAGAGACAGGTGGTACTGTAGGCAAATATACCCAAACCTGGTCTGTGGGGTGTGATCTGCAAGGGAGACTGCAAACAGCACCAGAGATGGAAGTGATAAGATAGACACAGCTTTACTGTTGGCTCTCTGTCTATTAATGTTGGGTGAAGTTGCACAGAACAACAATTTTGTGATATGGTTATGGTGACTAAAAATGTATTTTTAACAAATTATGCAACCAAGTCTTAATTTGTACAGTTATGTCAGATTCTTTGCAGCTGTCATAAAGAACTTTTATAGCAAGGAACAGCACGATAAAAATCTATTTTCATTTATTTCCAGGTTGTATTTCTAGGTGAAATACTCCTACCACCTACAAAAGGATCAAGAGAGTGGCTACATTTTGGGGAACTTAAAAATTCCAGTTTTCAAGAATTTCTGAGTCTCATGTAAGACCTGAGGGTTTAATTAGAAGCATAGAGAGTACTGAAATTCAACAGCCACACTTTCAGGCATGTCTGCTGCTCAGGAGCTGATTAACGTGCTGATATCAATTAAGTGTTTGCTCAAGGATAAAGATGATGATAAAGGATAAAGACCCACATTCAGGTCTTCTCTGATCATGGGGAGAGAGAAGGCAAAATACAAATTTGTTCCTCACAAAGTGAGGAATGATGCACACCTTTATGCAAAATGCTGTCTGGATTTTTCCATAATGAACTTGGGAGCTGGACAGCCAACCAGTATTTGGATGTGAGAGCACCTGTAATTTCCAGGTATTCTGGGCATGAATGAAGGAGACATAATTGAATACAAGACCTTACAAAGTAAAAACATGAATGTGTGATTAAGTATTTCAATATCACTATCAAAAAGAGAAAAGCTGGAGACATATTAATAGAAAATATGGGGTGCTGCTTTTTTATGTACAGCAGGACAGTGCTTGGTTAAGTGATTGGGAAATGTTATCTGTTCATGAAAGAAACACAGGAAAAAGTTTAAAATTTAAAAAAAATCTTAAAGGACACCATACCTGGAACATAAGATGTTATAAAACCAAGCAATGTTTAATGTTCCAATTATTATTCAAATTTTAAGTGCCAAAAATAGATATTGATTTGTCACTGAAAATTGACTATGAAATAAAGGTGGATTCTTGCACAAAAATACTATCCAATTTCTTATTTTCAATAGAATTTAGATCCACTTTTCCTAATGGTTAACACAGAACTGCATTTCAAATGCCAGTCTTACATCTCACATGTCAAAAGGTTCTCCCTCCTGTACCAAACTTTTTTCTTTGGATTTCAAATGTCTTCCCATAACAATATAAGCTTTAAAGATTAAGTACATGTCAACACAGCTTAAATGTATACATACATAAAGCTTTATTGCCATAATCACAAGGATCTCTTGAACCCAACCTTTTGGCTGTTTCTGAAGAAGCACAGCCATTAATAATTACCATAAAAATTCAGAAAAATATTCCAGTTATTTAGAACAGTTACTCTTCTGTTTTTTCCCCACTTAAGTATCAACAATGCCTGTATTCTCTACAGTGGTGAAGTTGATGAAAGGAGAACATTTTAAACAGTAACCCTTAAAATGTTGCTGCATTCCATTCACAAATGTCGAGACAAAATAAAGTTCAACATCACTGTCACACAGAGATACTCGTGTAAGGGAAAGTAACAGCTTCAGTTACAGAAATTGCTATTTTTTTAGGTCACAATCATCATGACATCATGAAATCTCCTCTGTTTTATTGCTTGAAGATACAAGTCCAACGGGTTGTTTTTTAATACTCAAACAGACCTATAAGAATTAGAAAACTCTTTTCCCTCTCTATTAATCTCAAATTTAAGAAAATGAACAGCTATTCATCAATACTAGATTGCAAAGGGCTGTTTGATATACTGGACAGATGTGAAGGCAGATGAAAGAACTCCTTCAGTGTATCTCCCTTTAATTACCAAGGAACATGTTGTGCCACTGTAGTTCAGAGCACAGGGATTGCTCGGGGCTGAACTGCACCAGCTGGAGAGGACGGACACTCTCCTTTACAGTGCAGAGCAGGTTATCCACAAATTCACTCTGCTTAGTCCCTGTTTCCTATCTGAATTAAAAAAGATCATGCAGTACTAGGTTCTGTGGGATACAGTGATGCCACCCAGCAAACATTCAACCCAGAGCAAACTCAACCTCTGCCCCACCGGGGAGAAGCCACTTGCAGGTGCTCCCTGGGTTGGCACGAGCACGATTTACTCCCCAAGCGCAACTCCCGTATCTGACACTGAAGTGAAATCGGTAAGGATTCCACCCTGGCATTTTGGAACAATAAACAAGTTGCCAGGACAGAAGCTTCTGGGTGACTGAGAGCGAGTCGACAAAGGGCACATTGTTCAGGGGCGCAATCCTTCCATTCCCGGGCTGGAATACCGACGTGACGGCGGCGGGACCGAGCCAGGCAGGGCAGTGGCAAGGGAAGGGCAGGGAGGGAAGGGCAGGGAGGGAAGGGCAGGGAGGCGCGGAGCCCGTGCTGGTGCACAGTGACCCCCGGTGGAACGCGCTGCACTCCCAGGAGTTCACACACAGCGGCTGGAAAGGGAGCAGGTTGTGGGCGGCATTACCCGAGGTGGTTTGTGGTAAGGAAATGAAAGACTACAGGGGGCAAAGACTGTTATAGGTGAGGTCACCAAAACCACCAGTACCGATGTCACAAGCCTCTGCTCCTCAGTCTTTTAATAAAGACAACAGGATTTTGCCTTAAATGGATTTTTCAACTTTTCCCTCTTGAGGTTTTCTGGGATCTCCAAGCAGGGTTATATACTCTAGCCAGAGACTGAGTACACCATGAGCTAGCACGGTCACTGTTTGGATAACAACCCCTCACAGCACAGTAAAGACTCACTGTCCTCTACACGCCGCAAACCTGTTCAACCAGAATGGGCAAGTACAACCAGACACATTGAAATGTCACAAGTCCCTCTCTGCCCAGCTGGGAGTTACCAATTCTCAGGTGAGCTGCGGTCACCGACCAAATGCGAACTCGTGTACACTGCACCACAAACCCAAATGCACTGACTTGTGTTGCTGTGAAAGGGGCTCTAGGTAAGGCCACAAAGAATTAGGGGAGCAGCTCTCACCAGTTTATGCAATTGTGGAGAGCCTGCGGAGGACCAGCTGAATGAGCAGTGATGTCCACCTGAGGCACGGTGAGGTACTGACTTATCTATCATGGACAAGTTCCACATTCCTGCTCCCCACATGAGCAGTCACTGGTGGCACCAGCTTAATGGGACAGAATCACAGAATCACAGGATATTCTGAGTTGGAAGGGACCCACAAGGATCATCCAGTCCAACCTGTAAGTGAATGGCCCTTACAGGGACCAAACCCATAGCCTTGGCATTATTAGCACTGTGCTCTAACCAACTGAGCTGATCTCAGGGTAGAGGGAGCTGAGAGAGGAGGAATATGAGAAATCTAACTGGATTTGCTGGGCAAAACTGAAATCCTGATTTTGACCATTTGGTTTGACTTCTTTAGAAATTGGCTACATACCATTTATGTTCTAGAGAAGAGAATCAGGCTTATTGTTTATGCATGTTAGAAGCAGGAATCTCTAATTTACCTTTTATATTACTGTGAAATGTGCTGGGGCCACCAAACTCCACTATACCATGTTTTGCCAGGCCCACAGTTTATAATGGGAAAATGGCCCTGGAAGCATCCCACAGAGAGCTTTATTACCCCACTAAAAGTCAAAGGGAACTTGCAGAGCGCCTGTCAAAAAGAAAGTAATAATCCCTGGACAAGCATTTCTCATTACCTGGTTTGTGGGGGTTTTTTTTAAGCCAGTTGGTTCCAGAATTGCAACACTTGGATTCTCCCAGAACACGTGAGCATTCTCTTCAACTCCTTTAGTACAAAGTCCATTGACTGTGGTCAAACCACCTCTCTGGCTGTTTAAACAAAGTTGCTGGACGTTGCACTGAAACAAAGAAGTGTTCCCTTACTGTCTTCTGTTATGAAAGGGGTAGGGATTTCTGCATTCTGACCACCAACAAAAATCTGGGAGCTTTCAGAAACCACCAAAGCTGCTTTATTTAGAGAAGAGCTTTAAATCCTTATACTCCCAGAGCTTTGAATGACTTGCTCATGTGACCTAACCTCATGATAAAACATTGATGCTTCACCTTTTATTCAATTATCATATCATTTACCTTCTGTTGTCCCAGTAAAAACATCTGATACATAAATAATGCATAGACAAGTCACAACAGCAGCCACTGTGGTTAGAGAGGAAAGGATGATAGAAAACAACACAATTTTACTTAAAAGGTCTTGCCCTGGAAGCCTGAGAAGGCTACAGCATGTACTTCCAGTGATAGAGTTTAAGATTTCAAGTAACACATGTAGAATAAAAAGAGACTTCATTTATTAATAATTTGAGCCAAAAGCACTTATGAAGAAATCAATCACAGCATTTTAAATTGGATTTTTAAAATTCAAAGCATTAGCGACTGGATCTAAGAGTGGCCACTACCATCTATAATCTTTATCATACACACAGAATCAGATGCACAATTAAAATTCTCCTGTGTGTAAACATCCCAGTGTGTCTAAAAGATGACAAGTACTCTGATTTTGAAGCTGTTACACAAACTGTATGATTGCACGTTCCATTAGTTGCAGTGTTTAAAGTGAATGCACTGGATGGAAGTTTTGCAGCTCAGTTACTGCTGACTCCATTGCTCACACATTTGCATTACTCCTGTTCACTCACTGAATGCCCCTCCTCTGATGGCTGTTTCAGGGCTTGCTCGCTTCCCAAATTCTTCCTTTCCAATGTCCTCCCACATCTGACCCCTGTTTCTTGCAACTTCCCACCCCTCTTCTCCCTTAGATTCCTCCTTGTACAAACCATCACATACACAGGAGCCCTCCCACATTATTCCCAGTCTTTTCCCCCCAAAATGAAGGGCCTTAACTGCTCCTTCAGTCCTGCTTGTGGGCTCTGCTGTTACTGCTGATTCCCTTTGGGCATCATGTAGCTAAGAAAACCCAAAAAAACCAACCAAAACTAAACACACACACACACACACACACACACAAAAGAAAATGCCCAGTGAAACTTTTAAAAGCAGAAACCTAAGACATACCCAGGCCAAAAGAGGTACAATACAGCCCTGAAATTTTGTTTGCTGTTTTCCCTGACTCACCATTTATTTTTCTCCTTTATAAACATCTTGTTCTCTGTATTTAGTGCTGTATTCTCATAAGAGATCAAATTAAAAGAATTTTAAGACAGGTTTCTGTACTTCAGTTTCTGGAAATGAAACAAAGATTTGTTGGTTATCTATGGGAGAGGCAAATACCTAATGCAAAGCAAGTAATTTTGACTGCCTAAGATACTTACCCACAAATTGCTGATAGCAGGAGCTGCTGATCTCTTTTAAAAAGCTGTGGACATTCAGCTTCTTGCCTTGCTTTTACTTTAAAAAAAACCAACTTCATAAAATTATAACATATCTGAAATGCAGTATCAAAATCCTCAGCTTCCACACTGCAACAGGACATTCTCTGTCTACTTGCTTCCTAATGTCTTTTTTTGGAGAAAACAACAATCAACTTCATGGGCAAATGACTCATTTTATACTCATTTTGGTTTGGGAAGCAGCTTATAAAGAGAGTCATTAAAAAAAAATATTCCAGCCCTTCAGATTCACGTTTTTCTCCAACTATAGATCTTATGGGCAATACCCACAGCATGGGATCCAGCCCTTTGCCTGAAGGAAAAACAGTCCTAAGTCTATCCAGGGTAATTAATTGTAATTTGTGGGGAAAAAAAAATAACAAAACTCTCTGGAGTACCATTTCTTCCCATAGGTGCACAGAGATGATATTCTAGTTTAGCAAGAAATAGAACAAGTGAAAATACTGTAGGAAAAAAACCACCTGAATCACAGCAGTATTCTCCATCTTACCCCAACTGTCTGGCTCCTCACTCATCACAGTAGTTTAAGACCTGGCAGATACATTGTGAAAATTAATTCAGAACATTTAGAACCCACAACTGTAAAAGTCCCAGATCAACCAGACATGTTCCATTCATGTAATGTAGTGGAAAAACAACCCCAAACCCTAGAACTGTATTTCTTCATATTGCAATCAGAAAATGTAGTCTAAATTGCCAATTTGTCTCCAACAATCTAACTTTTCAAGACTTGATATTTTAACAATAAATGACTAAGCATTATAAGGTTTTTGTTTAAAAAGTGTTTTCACTTTAATGGGTTTAGTTAATAACATCATGAATGGTACAAAACTGTCCTTTTTCACATTTCCATACATTGTATTATGGACCACCTGAAAATCTGGACTAAGAATGCATAAAGTGTCTCTTAAGTAGCCCTAACTTCATTTTTGCCATATGTAGAGCAGATATGCAGAAAAACATGCATTTATTACCAATGACATGTTAATATTAGCTTAAACAATAAAATATGGCAGGATGTGCATTGTATAATGCACAGATATGTAACAGGGTAAGAGAGACCAAATGTCAAGTGCTGGCAACGAAATAAGAAATGGTTGGTGACACACTGACATTTTGTGACCATAGTATTAGCTCTTCTGTTTTAAAATTGTTTTAAATAGTAGTAAATATTTAAATAATATTTAAAATATATTTCCTATGGAAATCATTTACTTGGAAGACAGCCTGTAAAGATCTGACTTTTTAAAAAGTAGTATTTCATTTTGACAATATATGAATACAATACATGCCACGGAACTTCAGAGAACCTAAAGTCCTCAGCTGTTTTCAGAAACAATTCCTCAATCCAATTTTGCCTCTGATTTTTTTTGCTAGCAAAACTTTGGAAGTAGCATCTCAAAGAAAACCTGCCTTTAAGAGAAATACTGTACTTGAATAAAACCAAACCCTATGTAGAATGGGATGCCGCACTGAAAGAAATTAAAATTAAAAACCAAATAATAGATTATGCAACTAACTTCATTCCTGTTTTGCTAATTCATAGTCTAAGGAGGGCTTTGTTCCTTCCTATTGCATCTTCTCTTGCAGTCAAATGAGTGCTTAATTTCCACTGTCAGACCTTAAGGGATGAAGACCTCAGTGTTGCCTCAAGGGAAAAAGAATTGAAGTGTGGGTGCAGAATTAATTACCTAAAATGCAACAAAACAGAGCAAAGTATTTGTGCAAAAAAAGTAATTTGTACATTGACTTTTTTCCTAAGTTTGCTTCAGTATAAATAAACCCTCTTCAATTCCACTAACGAAGCTTTATTTTGATTTACGACCCTTCACCACATTTCCGAGTTCCACGTTTTTACTTATTCTAATTTGGTAAATCAATGATTCAGCCACCATTTTTGCAGCCCAAGACAAAGATGGAAGCTCCACTATATTAATCTTCAATAGACTGGGGTAGTTACTTTTATTCACGACAGGATTTTTTCCCCCTGTCTTCTACAGGCACAGTGCTTGTTTAACTGGCCTTGAGAATAAAACAGCCAAAAATAAGCCAGGTCACCTTCTATGGCAGTGCAGAGCATCCTGGCCTCCTTTTTGCTTTTTTTTTAAAATGTTGCTAAAATTACCTTCTTTTTAAAATAGGGACAAGCTACTCCAAAAGCCTCTCATTTCTTTTTTTCAGCTTCTAAGGACTGAAAGCAGCTTCCTAAAGCTACTTCTGGATTCAAAACCCTAGAGTAAGTCCACAGCAGTGGTACAATAATCATTCAGAAAGCACAGAGACCTCTCTCAACCAGTTGCTTCATAGTCCTGTTGGGAAGGGGTGTGAGAGAGGCAAAGTGTGATGAGCTCTTCACTACACCATCAAGGAGCCGACTCCATTGTTCCCTCAGTCTGTATCCTGATCATCTTTACAACTACAGACCAGGAATTTCCAAACTTGTGCTGTGCATGTCACTGCAATGTGACAACACAACTCTGTCTGGGCAAGTAAATACCTCTCCTGAATCTCCACACACTGCCAACCACCCCAGCACTAAGGGAATACGCTAAGGAAACTTGGGAATCCCCACTATGGATTAAAGAGTACACCAGGCACGTTTCTGCCATACCTCCAGTGTGCATATTTACATGAAAATAGTTTTAGCCGATTGCTACCAAGGTTGGCAGCTTTGCTGTTTGGTTTCCACTGCATAAACTTCAGCTCCTACCAGCTTGAGTACGACTGAAACTCTTCACCCCTGTGGTTACCCTTCTTTTCACTGTGAAAATTAATTAGCTCCATGATTGCTCTAAAAATCTGCATATTCTTCCTAAACCCAAACCCATCTCACTCTCCTTGATAGTTGCAGACGTAGCAGTAGCACAATGCATTTAGCAACACGTGGCCTCCTTTTTTAAAGCAAAACCACTACGGAGAGGCTTAAAAAAAGGCAAGAGCACATACCAATTTCTGTTCATTGTAGTCTGCATACAGATTGTAAAGGAGAATTATTGCTTTTTAAGGATGAAAAGCTTTGGAAATACGGTAAACATCCTACAAGGTTCTAAATCTAATCAGCTAAAATTCTGTACATACTTTAATATTCAAACCTCTATTTGCTTACTCAAGATCAAATAATTTCATTTTCACATCTATTCATTAAACTCTTTATACTTCTACAGTCTAATGAATATTTAACAACTAAACAGGATCAAAACATGGGGAAAAGGTCCCATGGCAATGAACATTATTTCATTTGGCCAATGAATAGTGAACCCTGCTTTCTTGGCTGAAATTAAGGCACTAAGTGGCAGTGAAAGGATAAAGGAATGAAGTTTTTTTTTCTCTACATTATCTGAAAAAAGACCAACATGACTTTTTTTTCTCTTTTAGGACGCCAGTAGAGTACATATCCATTGTGAATGACTCAGTAAGGCATTCTGTTGGCAAATTTAAAGAAAATGTTCTCCTGATTAGAGCCCATTACATTCATTGTCTGAGTGTGACTAGTGGCACTACTTAACTGTTAACAAACTGGAGGGGGGGGAAAAAAAAAAGCTACAAAGATGTCTGAAGACTTGAAAGGCACCAAAAAGAGAACAGCTCTGCAACTGCCAGTTCTACAAACAATTATGTAAGCTGTGTTTAACACTGCATATAGTCTATTCAATCAACAGTCTTTGTTGACCAAGATAAAGTGTAGTAGCTCTTCATTTAAACTCTCAGTTAATCAAGTGCTAGTTTAGTAAGAAATTTATTTTCACGTATCAGAAAATAATTGCAGTGTCTAACACAACTACACTTAAAGCAAAACTAGTCTAGTATGCATTATGCATTATTCTGGTTAACACTGAAGCAAACCTGTATAAACAAAAGGGTTACCTCGAGATACATAGTTTACAATATGAAATCAACATATAAATGAATAGGATTTACTGAAAACAATGGAAAGTGTATTACAAAGATACATGTAACAATTTTAACCACAATATTTCCTCTGTGAAAAATACAACTATTAGTGAGATAAAATGTACAATTGAATTCTTTTTTTTTTCCAAAAGAAAAAAAAAACACAGTATAAAGGAAAATATTTTTTTCTTCAAAACAGGGAAAATAGTTAAGGTCATTGTCTTTCATTACAATATAATTTGACACAAAAGCAGTCATAGGATTGCACCAACTCCATGTTCAGTCTCCTGAACATGACAATAGTAAAAGGAGTCCATAAAGCATAATGAAATTTCTGGATTTTATGATGGCAATATATGTATGCAGAAACTGATGTCACTCCGGCTCTGTTCACAAAATGTACAAAACTCTAAATTTGGTGGCCAGACATGTAAAAATTAGTTCACCCCAACGCTGACTTTTCTCTCGCTTAGTCAGGGATGGAAAAATCTGTAGTATTTTAGGTGTTGTTATCTGTTCAGCAATAAAAAAAAAAAAGAAAAAAGTATATGTAGTGCATGCTTTATCACTTGTCAAAAACATTTCTGAAAATAAAACTAAGTTATCCAATAGTTTACAAAATAGAAAATAACTCTTCAGGTTAAAAATGTGGTTAGGTTTTATGTTTAGTTCCATCTTCAAAGGACTGATTTCCTTGGCAGCATCACTTTTCCCTTAGCACGAGCCAAGGCACAAAGTTCCATAGAGAGAAATAAAAATGGCTACGAACAAGAAGCAGTCTGGCATTGTAAAAGAAATCAGAGCCTCCCTCTGAGCCTTCTGTTCCATCAGGTTAGTGCCGTAGAAAAAAATGGGAGATTGGGGATGCACTTTTGTTATGAGCATTTCTGCTGGACACGATTCAAAAGTTCACCAAACTTTTCAAAAAGATCCTCCACCCATTTGATGTTTTTCATGCACAGCTGCACAATCTCTTCCTGGCCTAGGTCTGCACTCGTCTTCTGAACAGAAGAAATCTATTCAAAAAAAAGAGAAGGAGGGGGAGAGAGAGAGATTCACACACACACACACACACACACACGTTAGGCTGCCAGAATTTAAGATTTTTCATTTTTATAGGTCTGCAGTTAAATACGAACCTTCTTTGGAAAAAAACCCCAACTCTGTGCTTTAAAAACAAGAGGAAATGCCCCCAAAAACACATTTCTTAACGACCAAGCCAGAGCTCAACTCTTGTATTTCTGCTACCTGAAATATTTCCACCATGGATTTGCAGAAGAAATAAAGGAGTGGCATTCTAAGACAAAATAAACTCCTAGACCTGATGAGTTACACACACGGATAAAATTTGTTGTGGTTTTTTTTTTTTTCAATTTTATTTTGGATAACAGTGAAGAATAGTTCAGGGAATCACACACACCTTGAAAGCCTCATATCTGAATGTTCTGAGCAGCAGTGCCCATTAGGGGCAACGTATGTGCTCAGTGTACCCTTTTATTTGCCATAAAGAATTAATCAAAATAGGAGGCCTCAATCCATACTCATCTACCAAGAAACAGTCCCTCTAGGTGGACTCAGTTCCCTCAATAAATTTCCTCAGTGCATGTAAAAGTAGTTCAATGAGAATAATTACTTACCTCTTCTTTACATGTTAGATATATGTGATATTTGTAATGATGGAGTGAGTGATACAAAGAATACAACTGTATTTTTTCTGGATCTACTGTAAACTCCTGCAAAAAGAACAATTATTTTATGTAAATTCACCTTATTTACATAAGATATTTCAGATATTTTCTTCTGTAAACAATTTTTTTCAACAATTCAGAAATGCACTGCTTCATTCAAATCATTATTTTGATGTATTTTGGCAAACTGCAATTTAATATATATCATAATTATCTCCTATCTCCACTTTCCACGTTGTTTTATCTCCACTTTCCACGTTGTTTTATCAAAATCAGGTTTGGGAATGCTTTCAGTTATCCTGAATGCACTGCAAGTCCAAAAGAGGCAAGACACCTCCTTCTCAAGAACTATTGCAAGAATTACCAAAGCTTAAATACTTTTCTATCAAATTGATGGGTATCACTGCAAAAAGCACCCACTTTGTGCTTGAGAAGGCTGCTCTGTACTTACCTAATAT